GATTTTTGAGGTTCTCAGCTTTAAAATGATATAGAACAGTTATGGTAGCCTGGTGAAACCCCCCCCCCCCTCCCCTCACCCTCACCTACCCCTGCTTGAAGCAGCGACCTGGCTGGTTCCGCGGCAATATGCCCCCAAAAAACTCGCGACAGGCGCACGGGGTTTGCCAGGTCGGCGGGGCTGGCGGGGCGGACAGCAACTGCTGCGCAAGAAGTCGACAGATGAGCAACGTTTTTGTTGTGACTGTAGAAGAAGAGACGGAAGGTTGCAGCCAGGTATGAGGGGGTGGCAGTGGAATTCGAAACACGGCCGACAACCAAAAGTGCCGCTAGAGACGAAGGGAAAGAAAGACACCCGGCTTTTTATTTCCCCTCTCTATTTTCTTCTTGTCACGATTCCTGGTGCGGTGTTGGAGGCGCTGCTGCAGCCGAGAGGAGATTTCTTTTGTGAGGGTCGCGATTAAAGCGGCATTATATCAGCGCCTCCCCCTCCCTCCATCTCCCGCGCCCTCAGGACACCCCAGGACACCCCTTGCCCGGCGCTAGCCCGGCGCGCGACCACAGCGGAGGTCCTCCGGAGGAGGGGCGGTGGTGTCCTCAAGGCGCCACCGACGGCGTTCGCTGGGGCCGCTGGGGGGAGTCCCCGAGTCTAACCCTACCGACAGCCCGGCATCGGCCTTTACCAGCCCCGACGACAAGCAAGGCCTGCTTTAGCGCCCAAGCTACATCTCTATGATGAGAAATCATAACAAGACTTGAGACCGATACCTCTGGTTTCTCGCCCCGTCAAGCCACGATTTTTCGATCACTCTTCAGTGGTTCCGGCCGATATCCCATTTCAATCCAGGTGCGAATAACGGAATAGTGCCAATAACGCAACTATGAGAAATAGCGACATACAGACCACAGACCTGCGTCTTGGTGTCATTGTTGTGGTTGCTTTGCCCAGAAGTTTGCGTTTTTCAGCCAGCTCGTCAACTTTGAACCTACGATTTGTTGCCGATCGCTCTGCCTTTCTTGAGACTGAACATTTCTGGGTTGTGCTTCATAGTGTGTTTTAGAATATTTTAATGGCTCGTGGTCGGGCTTGGTTTTGGCTACTTACAACCTGCAACATGTTAACCTCTAGAGCTAGGACGTCCTCGACGATGGATGCTTTTGCTCTTAATTGTTACGCAGGTAAGGTTATTCAGTATATAAAGATGACACAGGGAGAGATGAATTGCTGATAGACAGCTGTAAATCTGCTACTACTTCTTTACAACTCGCTCCAGCAAACCGCAGAGCTGGAGCTTATGTCTAAAAATCTGTTGTCTTGCTTTTATTACTTGGGCCCTATTGATCTGATAGATAATTTGTACTAGTTTTTTCATAGCAATGCACTCAATCCTTAGGAACTTGTGTGTTGATAAACTGTCAACGTATTATTAGTGCAATGTTACCGTAAGAACTATTTTGTTATTCAATCGTATCAATATTGTTGATAGCCTATTTACTATTCTTAGAAATAAAATGTTTTTGTTGATAACAGTGAAACAAATCTGTTGTTACTAATCAACAGTTTCTTTAGAATTGTGTTCTATAAGAAGGAACAAAAAACATATCCTAAAATGTCAAAAAGGAAATCACCACTCTTTTTCCTGCCTTCTTTCCTTTCCAGAGGCTGATTGGGAGTATTGCTGAGAAATGGTGAAATGGCACAATGGCCAAGGACCTTCTCTGTCGGTTGGAAAAAATATTCCTGGGGAGAAAAAAAAATAAAGGGTCGACCTGCCCCGCGATGAAAGGCGAACGCAAACAATTAAACATCCCCCTTTCTCCCCCCC